AAGAAGAACCGGTGTAGGGTTCCCTGATGATGAGCTCGTGTAAAACTGCATCTGGATAAATCTGGAATAAGCATTAGAATGTTGCCATGTCTGGGTCACATCTGAACTATTCCTGGAACGAATCTCGGAAGATAATGATTTTAGTCCTTCGACTGATCTCACCTGAAAGGCAAAGAGTTGTTACATGCAATGCTATGTTGCATGATACAATGTATGTTATGTAATATGAATGTAAATGAATGCGCATGTAAGCTGGAGAGCTGTCTTGCAAAGGATAGACGAATCCGAGACGGCTGAAGATGACAGTATCTTGACTGCTGCCGGGAAGAATAATTCCTGGTCATTGCTGGAGAAAAAAGGAGCTTGGGTTGTATACCAATCTTCTGGGGAATTCCTGATGACTTCTACTGGGGAGTACCAATTTAGTAGACTAATGCTGGGGAGGTAAGACCGAGAATCTTTAGCTTGGCGGGAAGTATCTCTGGCGACTTCACTGGGGAACTCAAGATTTGCTCTCCTAAAACTCTGTGGGGAGAAGGTTCATTAGTCTGGCTTCGCTGGGAGTACTGAAACTTAAATTCTGAGGGGAATTGAGTTCTGGAGGATTCTCTGGCTGGAGACAACAAAGATAAACTCCTCCAGGGATCGTATTGATAAGTTATTGCTGGGGAATTTTGATGAACTCCGCTGGGGATAGGAATAAATTTGACGAGTGCGATCTTCCGTGGCAGTTAGCTGAGGATAACCCAGTTATAAGCCCTTGTGACGAATAACTTTCACTACAAGAAAATTGGCAGATTGCGACAGGTATTTTTGTAGATTACGACGGTTAAAACCGTCGCAATTTGCTTTCCACGACGGTTGCTTTACCGTCGCAGAAGTGTGTGTCCCCAACCTATTTCGCGACGGTTACAAAAACTGTCGTTCAAGTTTACGACGGGTTGATACCGTCGTGACTATCTTTTGAGTTTCTTTTAATTATTGATGGCGACGGTTCGATACTGTTGTGAATATCTTTTGAAATTGATTAAATTGTTTATGGCGACGGTTCGATACCGTCATGACTTTTGTTGATTACGACGATTCGGTACTGTCGCCATGACTTTTGTTTATGTCTTGATTTTTTTTTATTTTTCTATTATATATATTTTTTATTTAAATTATTATCTATGTAAAAAATTTTAAATATAGTTTATTTTTGTGTTATTTTTTTCTTTAAATTATTTCTTCTTTAATATATTTATTTATAGTATTATTTTTTGTTTTATTTTCTATCACTTTGTAATATAGTAAAAATAATTTCAATAAAAAATATTTAACATCAAATAAGCATTATAATATCCAAAAAAATGTGTGTTCCATAATCATGTAAAATGCGAGTTCCATAATCATGTCAAGTAGTACAAAAAACCCAAAATATATCAATTCCTAATCTTATAATAATAAGTATCATTATGCCAAAAATACATGAGAAAGTTCACAATCTAATTATCTCGATCATAGCAAAGTCTAATTTGTCCCCCCTGAAGTTCCATTATCTCCAATACGATAGCTAGACTCAGATGAACGTCTACCATCAGCGGGTGATTCCAATCCCTAAAAAAAGGTATTAAAATAATAATCTTTAAAATAATACTCATAAAATTTAACTTTAAATGCGTCAAATTAATATACCTGTCTTCCATTGGAATAGAGTTAGCAGTACCTCATGTAAAGGAAGGTTCCACCCAAGTTCAGACGAAGTTGATCGCAAATTGGCAAATCATCGTAAATCCCTTTCGACTATACATGGAAGGATATATCCATCTATTTCATGAACCAACAATCAGCATTTCAAACAACTTCCAAATTTTCATCCAAGAGGTAGCATATACCAATTCTTGACTAAGACTAATGACATGACTCGGAGCACACATTCTTGAGTTACAAGAATAAGCATTTGAAATTAGATAAAGTACCTGTTCTCTCCGAAGGCCATTCGAAGTATACAGCGCATATATGATGGAGCTTAGTACGTTGAAATGGATACTGAGAATGAGCCCTACAGAAATTTTTGCAAATTCTTATTTTAAGTGCGTATCTAATTAGTAACCAGATTCAGAACTATAGCAGATAAACTTTACCATTAACATATAGCTTTCGTAGGTTCTGATTAGTATATTCTAAATTCCAATCAATATTGAGTATAGTAAAGGAACTGGAAGCAATGAATTAAATAACATACTTGAGCACAAAGTCTGAATCAGCTGAGTGGCATTTTGGCTTCAAATAAGCATCAATCACTTGTAAAATGGTATCGTCCTTTCCTATATTATTTTTAGCTCCTGCATAAACAAAAAAGATAGAAAAAATGATTAAAAAAAGTTGCAAAATGGAACTAAAATGCAATATAGATATGACAAGGGTATATATACCTTTTCTTTTTTTCACCCATCCAAGTCCTTCAGAAGCAAATTTTTTTAGAACATCTTTCTCCCCAATTGATTTTACTATCTGACAAGCTAACTCCTACAATACAACCATGGAAACAATCATGCAAAAGCACAAGCAACCATATAATATGTAAATATTCAACCCTGCTAAACAACAAGAGGTGAAAAGGCAAAAAGTAATATGATCATGAAGGATGTGTTTAAGGACTTACCGAACCTAAACCATGAACTCCTTGATGATAGTCACTGCCGAGAAGCAAAGAGAGAGCAATCTGAAGATCATGGGTTACTCGGTTACTGATTTTCACCAGAACAAGAACTCAATACCCTTGAATTTTGAATTGACAAGAAACAACGAAAGATCGTCTAAGAAAGCATTGTGACTCTTATGTTAAAACATCAATCAGAAATTTACCAATGAATCCCGTCCCAATCCAAGTTTATTTTCAATCTCTGCCATCTCATAACATACAACATATCCACCATCTCCTAACTCATTAATAAAAAAAAAATTCTTGTAAGTCATATGAAAGTACAAAAAAATCCTTAGAACTTATACGAAAAATACAATTAGCACAAAAATATATTCAACAATAATATTTAAAAACGAAACCAAATGATATACTCACCAAGGCAGATTTCCCTGTACACTGTCCTTGCACCAAAGAGAAATATATCTGAATCTGAACTGAAACATCCATCCTATAATTCTCAACAATGAATGACAACAATCATGATATTAGCAAACAGCAATAGTACTAGTATCCCAAAAATAACTGATAATTACAAAGTAGACAAGTGCTTACGCATAATGATTCAGAGTTCAACAAAGCACACTGTGCTTCAGCTTCTTCAATCCTGCATTTTCGAAAAAGAGCAAGATGCTATCAGTTCAAATTGGTTCTTTAGCATCCATCAATGCAACTTGTTCAATCAACTTTCAAGAGGAATAAAAATTCGATAATATCATTTCTAAATAATATATGTTTAGTACCCTACATACAAATTTTAATTTTTTATTAGTCCATAAATAAATTTGAACATCAACAATTCCGGCAAAATATGATAGCATTCTTTAAAGCAAAACACCATCAAACTGTAACTTCTATTAAATATTACCCATTCAAACAAGAGACGCCGAGAGCCATCCCCAAGGCTTTAGCCTCTTTAATCATACATGAAAACTCAGACCCCAAATTTCAATTCCAACCTCTTCCTTTATTATTCTTTCCTTGTGTGTCCCTTCATCTTCTTCTTCTAATCATATCATCATGGACAGAAACAATTATCGCAGACAAGTTGCTGCAATGAAACAGTCACTGTTTGATCAGGTATATATATAGAATGTTATTAGACTCTTGTAGTCTTGATTAATATTGATGGCTAGCTAGTTAGTTACCTAAGTAATAATGAAATATGCAGGGGCTTCTTGATGAACAATTTATCCAACTTGAAGAATTGCAAGATGATGCTAATCCTAATTTTGTTGAGGAAATTGTCACTCTCTACTACCGCGATTCATCTAGGCTTATCTGTAACTTGGAACAGACACTGTAAGTTTATAATAGTGTGTTAATTCCATCATAATTTTAAACTAAATTGGTGTCATTTTTGTGCATGTGGAAGGGAGAGGAATCCATTGGATTTCAACAAACTGGACACAATCATGCACCAGTTTAAAGGAAACAGCTCAAGGTATATATCATCACCTCAGGTGTAAAGTATGTTAGTTGAACAATGATTTGAATAAAATAGTTATTTGTGCAGCATTGGGGCCAAAAAGGTGAAAGCAGAATCGACTCTAATTAGAGAATATTGCAGGACAGGAAATGCAGAAGGGTAATGAAACATGCATTAAATATAAGTCATTTATTTATGGAATATGATTCCTAACAATGGTTGTTGTTGTAACATACTCAGGTGTAGGAAGAGCTATCAACAAATGAAGAAAGAATATGTAGCTTTGAGAAAGAAACTTGAAAATTATTAGGAGAGGAAAGGTCAGAACAGCGCCATAAGCACTCTATCTAAGTCTAATCCTCCTAAAAGCTATAAGTACAACCTACCGAGAACCAAAACAAACAACCACATTCACAAGAACCCTCCATATAATCCATTAATTCAACTGGAAGACTAAAAAGCAACACCCCACTTTCTTCCAGATCACTCTACGTCAAACAATATTACAGCAACAACATCACAACATGTCTCAAAAACTGCATCGCTACCAATATCACTATGGCATTTACCAACAACTTCAACACCTACTACTTAACTACAATTGAAACTCAAGTAACTTATTAACTATTGATTATATATCTATATCCAATGGCAACCATAAATACGAAGAACACACATTGTGTGGATTGCAATGTAACAAATAGCAATGAACTAGGGTTTTAAAAAGGTCTGCCACCTGCCACTGCAATTTCAATTGTGACAGCAAGGTTTTTGATATATGGACTGCAGTGTGCCTCAATTCATGACTATAACCGCAATGAAAAACCAAACTCAATAAATAAATAAATAAAAATTTGAAAAGTGAGGAAAAGATGATTACCGTGATAATCAACCAGCAGGATTAAGAGCCATCATCATGTTGTTTCCACCAGGAAGATAAGTAACATTAGGCGATTTCGCAAGCGTTCCAGCAACTTCCCTGGAAGCTTCAATCCTCCTAAGCTCAACCAACCCCATCCCAGCCGCAGCAGTAGCCTCGGAAATCAATATAGCAGCGTCACTCTCTCCTTCAGCTCGAATACCAAAAATAAGTGAATGCAACAGACATAATACCAATCATTATATCAGTTAACAACCCTACAACACATAAAATCGGTTCAGGAATACCATAAAAAATAGTCCACTCATTCAGAAAATTAAAAAAGGCCAATGCATAGCAAAACTGATTCAGTCAATCACATAGATTCAAGTCAATTTAAATATCCACTTCACAAACCTAATCCCTCACATAACAATTTCTAACAACTTTAAGCTAACAGTTATCCATTTCAATTGATATTCCTAACAGTCAGGCCCTAATAATATTGACGATTTTAACTCTTTTTCACACTAACAATTAGCTAACTCAAATTACAATCAGCAACTAACTCTCAGTTTCATTCAAATCTAAAGCCATCCCATCCTAATAGCCAACTATACACAACCTCTCTACAATATTCTACACAGCTTCGTCAACCTTCATCATCAATGGCATCATCGCGACTTCAAGCTTGAAGCATTCCCTCTATTTCAACACCAATCACAACAACAAACTTCAATAATTGAATTGTACCGAATCAATAGAAAATACGTGTGAATCGGAAATAATAGAAGAATGAGGAATTAAGAATGCATACCTGAATCACGATTGAAGCGTTGGCGGAGTGACTCCGACGTGTAAGTATTCTTTCTTCTCTCATCATTTTTGTGATGAACTCCACTAATCAAATTAACCTCATTGAAGAAATGATCCACCCATTGCGTCGAGTTAAAACTAAGCCTTTTAACAGCCACAGTATTACCATCTGGCATAACTCCCTAAAATGAAAGGAAAAATCTATAAGCACTTAACAACAATAAGGTTGTAAGAAGTTACAATAAGATAAGATCAGAATATACTTTATAAACTGAACCTGATCCTCCTTGTCCTAGCTTATTGTCATCATTGAAGTAATTTGTTGCTTTTTCAAGAATTTCATATGGAACATTTAGCTTGGATTTATTCACTGTATCCAAAAGTGTCCCAAATTATTTTCTCTCTAGTAAAAAAACACACACACATAGCAATAACTTTTAGCACAAGTATTTTGGAAAAAAGTAATTCCAGTCTTTAAATATTAAACATGTGTACCTCTTCTTTTCCTCATTACATTCTTTCTTATAAAGAAACCCATTGTTGCAGTAACCAAAAGAAGAGCCAAGACAGCAGAAGATGCAGCCAATATTATAGCCATTTTTCGGTGTCCTAAAACACAGTTTCAAGCTTCAATCATGTTCTTATCATAATACTGACCATGGTTATAAATTGCGGTCCGCAACGCAATTGCGGCTGTAATATTGCTAATGCAGTAGCTTCCACAATCGTATTGGACTGCAATTGCAGTGTGATTTAAAACCACGCGTCCGACTATATTATGAACCGCATCTAACAATGTCGCTCAAGTTTCTTCAAGTATTTTCACCAAAACTAAAAATTTCAAAACCTCACTATGTAATGAAAAATCTTAAGATTAAATGTTTTTGGTCTATTTCAAACCCCTCAATCAAAATTCACACTGCAACGACCACAATGCGCATTGCGGCAACCATGTCACAACACCCGCAACTGCATCACCGATCGCAACCGAACTTTAAAACCATGATTCTGATATTTTAAACTACTTTACATTAACAAAAAATACAATGAACAAAAATTCAAGATTATGAACAAGTTCAAAATGGTAAGTTTGGCATAATCATGCTACTGTAATTTTGATGAAATCAATACTTCAAAGTTTCGACGAAATCAGATTACAACCGTGACTATGCACAATTCATGGCTAACCGAAAGAAAAAGAGATCATAGCTCACCGCGATTTCTAGCAGCAACATCATTACTACTTGAATTGTTATAGAACTTGTGTGGTGAATGCCTCAAATAACAACCAGAATTCAAAGCCCGTCCATCTTCTTTCTTACTACACGAAGAACCAATCCTAGTAACTGCATCCTCCAAACATCTCCGACAGTTACCACCAGTAACAAACTTCCAACACTGAGCCAAACCATACACCGTTACATTCTTCCTCTCAACAAACCCAACAGAAAATCCACCGTTTTTCGGCGCCAACACACTCAAATTCCTCAGCAATTCATAAACATTCGCTTCATAAACATTACTACTTGTTTTAGTTTCATTATTTCCACACACGGTCGTGTCTTGATTACCAAAGACAAATGTGTGATCGCCACATCGTTGAGAAGGATGTTAAAATCCCTAGCACGTCGGACAAGAGTCTCCTTAATAAGGGCAGAAACCTGAGGACGTTCAGTAAGGAGCTGATCAGCATTGAATTGCGCCACAACAGATTTCAGAACTTCGTTACCGATCGAAGGGAGGACTTTCTCGTCGTATTCGAGACCGAGGTTTTGAACGATGACAGGGAGTTTCGCGGTGTCGGGACGAGAGAGGACTCGGAGAGTTAGGTTAACCATTTGAAGATCTTTGGTGCCGGATATTGATGAGAAAGTATGGGGGCGGGTTTTGATATCGAAGATGTAGGGTTTTTGAACCCATGGGATGAGGAAATGGGTTCCCTCGCCGATTGATTCGTCGAGGATGCCGCGGAAACAGAACTTGTTCAAGGAATTCCAATATACTGTTAAAGAAACATTCTAATCGATGTTTTATGAGCTTTTTAACTTTTTTACTGCGACGGGTGTTTTACCGTCGTGCCCATGAGAATTTTTAAAGGTTTTGGGTGCGACGGTTGTTTTACCGTCGTGAAATGAATTTTAGGACGGATAATTTTACCGTCGTGAAAGGTTTAAGGGTGCGACGGGTGCTTTACCGTCGTGATATGCCTTTTAGGACGGTTAATTTTACCGTCGTGACTAGTTGTTGGTGAAAAATCAATGTTAAAAGTGTTAAATGGGGGCCGACGGTTGTTTTACCGTCGTAATAATAATATTATGATGGTTAAATATACCGTCACAAAATAAATATTAGGGACGGTTGGTGTCAACTGTCGTAAACACTGTCTCTATATGTCAATTACGACAGTTATCACATAACTGTCGCAATTTTTGTGTCGTTAAACACTAATTTTCTTGTAGTGTTTGAATAAAACTCGGGAGAGACGTTCGTACTCTGCAGGGGATAAGCTTCCAGAATCTACTGGGGATAAGCTTCAGAGTTTGCTGGGGATATGGATTCCAAATCTCCGGGGGTTTCCTTTGAAGGGGTATCAAGATATCCAACTGCACCTTTGACCTATCAGTAATCCTCTTTCTTGTAAGGGAATGATTATGTTCAAATGCATATGCCTATTTAACAAAACATTGGACGTTTCTCAAAACAAATAGTGCAAGAGAAAAGAAAAGGAAATGACACAAATTTTTGGGAAAAGTATTTGTATTGACTTTTTATGAGTATATTTGTACAAAGGAGACAACCATCCTAGTAAGAGGATTTTGTCGTAAATATTGAAAGATTTATACAAAATAAAGATGGCCATGTGAAATAATTCCATGGGATTCCATTCCGCTATAGCTTTCACAACTCTGAATATCTGTCCATTCAATGCTTCGTTTGCCGATGACTGGATTGATCAGAAGTCTGGAACTGGTTGATGAAGAGATTGTCTTTGAAGTGATCCGACGAGACATAGTCATACGCTTTAATTCTCTAACTTTTGCCTGAATCGCCCTTTCGGGTTTTCGATCCACCGGGAAACCCCTTTTTGCCCAAGCCGCCCTTTCGGGTTTTCAACTTGCCGGGTGTACAAATTTTTTTTATTTTTATCCCTAACTTTTTCCTGAACCGCCCTTTCGGGTTTTCGGTCCACCGGGATGCCCATTTTTGCCCAAGCCGCCCTTTCGGGTTTTCGACTTGTCGGGTTATTTTATGCGTAGTATCTTTTGACTATGTCTGCGTTCGCAGGGTGCGGCAAATCGTCGCCGTCCATGGTGGTTAGGATCATCGCACCACCAGAAAATATGCTCTTGATCACAAATGGTCCTTCGTATGTAGGAGTCCATTTTCCCCTGGGATCACTTTGCGGCAAGATAATCCGCTTGATTACGAGATCTCCGACTTGATACACTTGACGTCTGACTTTCTTATTGAAGGCCTTGATCATCCGTTTTTGATATGTCTGACCATGGCATATAGTAGCGAGTCGCTTTTCGTCGATCAAATTGAGTTGATCAAGTCGGGTCTGCATCCAATCATCTTCATTCAAACCTGCGTCCTTCATAATCCTTAGAGAAGGAATCTGAACTTCCATAGGCAGGCCAGCTTCCATGCCATATACCAACGAAAATGGGGTTGCCCCGGTTGAAGTACGTGCCGTCGTACGGTATCCATGCAGAGCAAACGGTAACATCTCATGCCAGTTTTTGTAAGTGACTGTCATTTTCTGAATGATCTTCTTAATGTTTTTGTTCGCAGCTTCAACAACACCGTTCATCTTCGGCCGATAGGGAGATGAATTGTGATGATAAATCTTGAACTGTTCGCACAATGCAATGATCATCGTGTTATTCAGATTCGTACCGTTGTCTGTGATGATCCTGTCTGGAACACCATACCGACATATGAGATTCTGCTTAATAAAGAGGGCAACCACATTTTTAGTAACAGAGGCGAAGGAAGCTGCTTCGACCCATTTGGTGAAATAGTCAATGGCAACCAGGATGAAGCGATGTCCGTTGGAAGCTGTGGGCTTGATCTCTCCAATCATGTCAATGCCCCACATTACAAAGGGCCAAGGAGCAGTCAGGACGTTGAGAGGAACCAGAGGGATATGAACTTTGTCAGCATAGACTTGACATTTATGGCAAGTACGGGAATGTTGATGGCAGTCAGCTTCCATGGTAGACCAGTAATAGCCTGCCCTTAGGATCTTCTTAGCCATTGTATGCCCGCTCAAGTGAGTGCCAAATGTGCCGCTGTGTATGTCAGTCATAATTAACTCCGCTTCAGATTTGTCTACGCATCGGAGTAATACACAATCATGGCTTCGTTTGTAAAGGATGTCGTTGCTCAGGAAGAACTTAGCAGCAAATTTCCTTAAGAACTTCTTGTCATTTACGGAAGCTCCTTCGGGATAATCTCTAGTCTCGAGATACCTTTTAATTTCATGGAACCAAGGTTGTTCCACTACTTCTTCGGTATTAATCTCGTGGCAATGCGCAGGTTCATCCATTCGCTCGATGGTGATTTGGGGAGCCTCGTTATCCTAGTTGAGTTTAAACATGGAGGACATTGTAGCTAGAGCATCTGCTAGCTGATTCTCTTCTAGCGGAAAATGCTCGAAGGTAATTTGCTCGAAATGAGGCAACAGTGTCAGGACATGTTCTTTGTATGGGATAAGATTAGGATGCTTGGTATCCCACTCTCCTTTGATTTGACTGATAACCAAAGTCGAGTCCCCAAATACGATCAAAGATTTGATCCCCAAGTCTATAGCAGCCTTGAGACCAAAGATGCAAGCTTCATACTCAGCCATGTTGTTTGTGCAACCGAAGCAAAGTCGGGCTGTGAAAGGTGTGTGACAACCCTCCAGAGAAATGAGTACCGCGCCGATACCGTTTCCAAGTGCATTTGAAGCACCATCAAAGTACAGGGTCCATCGGGATCCCTTTTCGGGTCCGTCATACGGTCCGTTACTTTCAATGTTGTCCAAATTCATGATGTCCTCGTCCGGGAAGTCAAATCTCATGGGTTGATAATCTTCGATAGCCTGATGAGCCAGATGGTCAGCTAGTACACTCCCTTTTATAGCTTTTTGGGTGGTGTACTGAATGTCATACTCAGTTAGAATCATTTGCCATCTAGCTATCCTTCCAGATAAAGCGGGCTTTTCGAAAATATACTTGATAGGGTCCATTTTGGAAATCAACAAGGTAGTATGAGTCAACATATACTGTCTTAGTCGGCGAGCAGCCCATACCAAAGCGCAGCAAGTTTTCTCGAGCAGTGAGTAGTGAGTCTCACAGTCGGTAAACTTTTTGCTAAGGTAATAAATAGCATGCTCTTTTCGACCAGACTCGTCATGCTGGCCCAAAACACACCCCATTGAGTTATCCAAGACGGTCAAATACATGATCAATGGTCTTCCTTCGATGGGTGGCATCAGAATAGGAGGTTCTAGCAAATACTCCTTGATTCTATCAAAAGCAGCTTGACAATCGTCGTTCCATTCAACTACCTGATCTTTCTTCAAGAGTTTGAAAATTGGCTCACAGGTAGAAGTCAGATGAGAGATGAATCTGGCAATATAGTTCAAGCGCCCCAAGAACCCTCTAACCTCCTTTTCAGTACGGGGAGCAGGCATTTCTTGTATGGCTTTCACTTTTGCTGGATCGACCTTAATGCCTTTGTTACTTACAATGAATCCCAGGAGTTTACCAGATCTAACTCCAAAAGTGCACTTACTTGGATTCAGCCTGAGCTTGTATTCTTTCAATCTGGCAAACAGCTTCTCCAGATGTTCTAGGTGCTCTTCCTCTGTTTGTGACCGAGCTATCATATCGTCTACGTAAACTTCAATCTCATGATGTATCATATCATGAAATAAAGCTACCATGGCGCGTTGATAAGTTGCCCCTACGTTCTTCAGCCCGAACGGCATCACTTTGTAACAGAAAGTGCCCCATTGTGTGACAAAAGTTGTTTTCTCCATATCCTCGGGGGCCATTTTGATTTGATTGTAGCCCGAGAATCCGTCCATGAAGGAAAACACTTTATGCTGAGCTGTATTGTCGATCAAAATGTCAATGTGTGGCAGCGGAAAATCATCTTTGGGGCTGGCCCTATTCAAATCCCAGTAGTCCACACACATCCTAACTTTGCCATCTTTCTTAGGTACTGGCACGATGTTAGCGACCCATTGAGGATAGGACGTAACAGCCAGAAAGCCAGTGTCGAATTGCTTCATTACTTCTGCTTTGATCTTTTCAGACATGTCAGGCCTCATTCGGCGGACTTTTTGCTTGATCGGTGGACAATCCTCTCTTGTGGGGAGACGGTGAACCACGATGTCTGTGTCTAAACCCGGCATGTCTTCATAAGACCAAGCAAAGATTTCAACATAATCATTCAACAACTTTACCAGGCGCTCCTTGACTCTTGGTTCCAGATTGGCACCCACTTGTACCTCCTTCCGGTCTTCCTCGGTCCCTAAGTTGACAGTTTCCAATGACTCTTCATGAGGTAAGATGGATCTTTCCTCTTGTTGTAGAAGTCTGGCTAGTTCCCTCGGTACTTCACAACCCTCGTCATCTTCATACTCGGCTTGATTGACCAGATCTTCAGAGTTATTGAAAGCTATAGCAGAATAGTCACCCATGGAATCCGGAGTGGATGGGTACCTGCATTGGTGAGTGTGGGTGTGTGTAAGGGATAGCCATCCTTAAACAAAAATGCAAAAGGAAAGAAAATGAACATAAGCAGTTTATCAAATGAAAAACGTCCAATGAATCATTAAACA